ATGTTGGAAACCTCATGTAATCACCTAGTTATTCCCAAAATATCTTTAGCCTATACTTGTGCTACTACATGTAGTGCGATGTCCGATATCCTATTTTTCGGACATGATATTTGATAAATTTGAATGTATGGTTCAATTCATACTCAATATTGTTGCGTACACAATAATTTTCTAAATCTTAATAAATGAAATATTTGGTTGCATAACATTAGTTATCCTGGTTTGGGGATAATTAGAAAATTATTAAAATTCTATTTGGTCACAACTTATCAAGTTACAAAATTTCCCAAATCATCGTATTTATGTGCACCGCATGTGCCATAGGGAAATCAGTTTTAAGGCACTCTCACCTTAAAATTCTAAGCATGACACTTATTCTTCCTTGAACACATTCAAAAGATATATGTGGATTGTTGAACCATTATATGGGGTAATATACATACTTCATGGTACTCATATACACATTCATAAAATGTTTTTAAGTGTGTCTCTTACCACACACAACCATGATCTTACCAAATAAATTGCTTAAATTATCAAAGTAGGAGCAAATTCTCCCGAACAAAGCATAAACCCATTTGAATGCGCAATGTCGTTGAACTCATTTCACGAGCATTTTCAGCTTGCATTCAGTACTCTATGTACATACCCAGAATGGTTTAACTAAAAAAATTATCAAACATAGTCAAATGAATTACTTGACCACTTTTAAAGAATTGTAAATTTACCAGCCTCTTGCTGGACACATACGACCTTACACACCGTAAGTATGATCTAAATCATACTAACTGCATATCATACTACTTTCCCCTTGTAGTAACTACATGGAAATCAACAAAGTATTTCCCATCTGCGATAATTCAGTTACATACCGATATCACCACTCCAGCGTACATCAATGGGCACTCACAGAAAATTAGGGATCTATATGAGGAATAACAATTTATCCGTCAATCAAAATTATTCACAGCCCGTATGCTGATTGCATCAGCAATAAGGATATTTTCCGGCATTAGGGGGAGATAAGTACCACAAAGAATGTCGTGAAATAAATTAGAAATGTTATTGACATTCAATCCTTATATCCATGTACTCAAAGAATCTGAACTAGAAGTTTAGAGAATCATATATTTGCAACACATTGCAAATTTGCCATATACATTTACTGATAACAAGGTGTTACTAAATTCTATATTCCTGCAGTAAAGTGTGAGAAAGAGTGGAGGTACCTGATAAACCACTCTTCTCCCCAAAATGAGAGCAAGAGGGGGAGAAAATCTGACAAGACGAGATATAACTTCTCATATGCTTCCGCGGAAACAAAGGAAATCAAATCCTCAACCAATAAATGTAATTCAACATCAAGTTGAAAGACACCTCACTGGATGCTCATCATCCAAAGCCCGGCATAAATGTGCACAAATGTTTTGGTGCCGGGACATCAAAACACCTTGACCCCATTTGTTGTAGGAAATCACAAGGAGTTAAAAAGGAATAAATATTTTATCCACAAACTTCAATGATTCCACCAGGATCATATAAACTAAAGACTACATTTGTCGACATATATTTCTTCTCAATTTGCTAAAACCTTTTGGGCCCAGAACCAAAATCCATGGTAGATTGCCTCTTGCACTCATATTGGTTCACATAAAAGGAAGCAAGTACGAAGAATAGCACTCGCTCAACAAATGAGTGGTATTTACCGCAGTAATACCTACTCCTCATAAGTATCTTCCATATGGAATACTAAAAACTTCTCATTCATAGACAAAGTCAATGAGGTGGTGAGAAAGCGAGGCTTGTAGCAAAAGGGTTCACGCAGAGACCCGACATCAATTATGATGTAACATACCCTCTTGGTATGGGTGGATTTATGTTTCGATACTAAATATCATTGGCAATAAAAAAATATTATCCATGCAGTTCATGGATGAAGTGGCTACATACTCATATGAGTCACTCATTTCGGAAAAAAAATTCAAGTCCCTGAAGGGCTTATACTTCCGAATCCAAAAGCAAATCGCAACAAGTTTTGTATAAAACTTCATAAGTCGCTCCATGACTTGAAATAGTCGGAAATCATATGGTACTACCGACTAAATGAGTTCCTTCTTAAAAAGGATTACTCGATTAATGATGATTATTTACATGTTTAATAAAGGAATCAATTTGACTTCCTTTCATCACCTCAGTGTATATTGATGACCTCATCATCAATGTCTATACAAGACCTAAACATGCACAAAATCATCTCAAGACGGGAAATTTGGATTCAACCAAATTTAGCTCAAGTTTACAACTTGAGCATTCTCTCAAGAATACATATCAGTCTACATATATCGAAAACATATATGAGAAGTTCAATGTGGATATATCATACCAACAAAAGGTACATGGTCAATATAAGAAATATTAACTTATATCTCAAGCCCACAATAAATCTTGGGCAATTCCATCAGGAAAATCAAAGATATGACTATGATGTGATGAAATGATATTGGCTCTTTATTTGATCCCAACAATGCCATATCGGTGACTGAATTCACTGGAATAGTCTTCTCATGGAAGTCATCTAAATAGACTTTAACGACTACTTCCACTAATCACTCTAATATAATTGCTCTACCTAAAAGCATTGCAAAATATGCATGGCTTAGCAGAATGATTAGCCACACTCAAAATCATGTGGTTGAGATTCAGCAGAATCACATAACTTGATTTATGAAGACGCTACCACTTGTGTTACTCAAAAACTACAGGTTATATGAAGAGCAATATTATAAAGTACATTGCTCGAAAATTACTTATCCTCACAAATTATAGAAACAATATGCAAACAACATACTTTGAAAATCCTACGGATTATTCATAATGTCATGATCATATCAATGGAATTTGTATTACACATTCTCCAGGTTTGCAAAGTTCAGGGGGAGTAATTTCCCAAATCTATAACCTATTAACAACCCTAAGATTGCATATATTGTACTCTTTTTTCCTTTATGAGTTTTTCCTAATGGTTTCTCATAAAGGTTTTTAACGAGACAATATAAACACAAGTGCACGTATATGTCATACACTTTCTCCTTATATTTTTCCCACTGGGTTATAAAGGAGTTTTCAATGGCATATCATATCGCACTCTTTTCCTTTATGAGTTTTCTATCAAAGTTTCTCATAATGGTTTTTAATGAGGCAATATCTTATCATACGTCATACTTTCTATTTTCCCTATCGAGGTTTTTAAAGAAAGTACTCAAGACATATTAATTGTTCTCTAAACTCATCAATGATTTTTCTCCTTCTTCAAAGGTTTTTCTCATATGAGTTATCAAGAGACAATAATCATTATATGTTGCATCATTTTCTCCTTATTATTTTCCCACTGGGTTTAAAAGGAGTTTTAGCAACATATCTGCACTATTCTCCTCATATTTTTCCCATAGGGTTTTTGGAGGAGACATTCAAGATTATTCAAAGAATTTGTCAAGATGATGGATGTCCCAAAGACAAGGCGTTGTACAAGGGGGAGTGTTAAGAATAGAATAGTTGCTTATTAATTAAGCTAATTAGGATTAAGTTAAATGTTAGATAGGTTACTTGGTTCTCAAGCAACCATGTACTTTCTTGGCTCTTAAGGCAACTATGTAATTCCTTGGCTCTCAAGTAATTATGTGTTTACTTGACCGCCAAACATCATGTGTACTTCCGTCTGGGTATAAATACCCCACTTTTATTATCAATAAAGACTGATGGATCATCTTTCATTCAAATTATCTCGTTCTTTACTTTTCACTCAAAACAAAGTCGATAGCGGTGCTAGTTTCTCTGAAGCATCACTCAAAAAAAACAGAGCCCAGCAGCACAACATACCGCGTGTGGATGTGCACACACGTATTGACCAAGCGCTGCAGCTGCCGAAGATTTTGAAGTTTGAACAGAGACAGCGACACAGGCGCAACGTCTGGCAACACGCAAGCACAACGAACGAGGCACCATCAGCCTTCACGATCACATCACAGGCGCGGCAGCAAATCAATCACGGCGTTGGCCACGTTGCTGGCATGGCAACAACGACGCGAGAGCAACGCCACCATCATCAATCCACCCACCTTCCGCCCGCCACGACGTGCGCCAAAGGGCACGAAGAAAAGGAGAAAAAGAAAGAGAAACCAGCGCGGCGCGGTCGCCAATCCTACCTGCCTGCCCTCCGCGGAGACCGTTGCCCGCTTCGCCGTCACAGCCAGCCCCCAATCAAAAGAGCAGAGCAGAGCCCCCCTCTTCCCCCTTCTCCCTCCCTCCCTCCCCGCTGGCCGGCACTTTCCCCAGTCGATCGGGATTCGGGGAGCATGGCGAGGGCCCTCGACGGCTGCTACTCCGCCAAAGACGTCGCCTACAGGTTCGCCGATTTCCTTCCCGTGGCTCTCTTCTGCTCAGGGAACCTACAGTTGAACCCTAGGATCGACAATCTTGTTTGGTCTTTGACCTTGACTGCCTTGCTTCTTCCCGTGTTTGTTCTCAAAAGTCTGTGCTACTTACCGTCCACTAAGGTCAATTTGAGATTACTGATGCGGTATTGCTGGGTTCAGTTGGTACATCATGGATGGATACTGAATCTTTTGTTGCTTCTAGTTATGTTCTGGCTGCTAGAACCTCTGTTTCTTCAGAATACTGAAATGAAATGATCATCGTTGGCACTCTGTTTATTTGAAGAGATCAGCATCTCTGAGCTCAACATCTGGCTCACGGCTGGGATAAGAGGTGTTAAGTGGATTAGTCAGATGTAGCCTTACTTCCCTCTTTTGTTTTTCTGTACAGTTTTGACATGTAAAATCCCCTTTGAGGCTTCTCCTCTTATCTTAATGAATGGAAAGCAGCATCTCTGTGTTACGTTTAAAAAAAATGTTACGTTTTGAGTGCAGAAGGATATAATAAATTCTGTGGGACATAATTTGAACTTGTGAAGGCATACAGAAAAACACGGAATTGTCATTTATATGCGAATACGACGTTCTTGTCAAAGCGGTAGGATGGTAGTTTCAGGTTTCTATGTTCAGTCTGATGATGTGTGTTCTTTGTTTCTTCATGAAAGCTGTGGGTACTGTGGCTATGCATTGAACTTGAGCTCCTCGACACGGAACACGGCCAACATTGGATCAAAGTATGGAAAGCAGATCAGGAAAGGCGTCGTCTCATTCTTCGCAGTCGACGAGAACCGGTTCACGCAAACCGACGAAGTGAGCTGCACGCCGTACTTCCGCTCAAGGTCTTCCTGGGGTTTCTTCAGAAGGAGGACACGATTGCTCTGCCGCAAGTGCAATGGCCATATCGGTAATGCTTATGACGACGAGGACTCTGCCTTGTATCATAGCTCAGATGACACACTCGCAAGCTCAGAGGTCAGCTGCACGTCTAGTCGAAAGAAATATGTTATCAAGATCAATGCGCTACAGCCATCATCGGACGACTCCGGTGTTCCATTCTCTCAATGACAGCAATCTGAAATGATGTATTGTATGCCTTGAAAAGCATGGTAAGGTCTCTACTCTGTGCCGGACTGGGATGCTGTGAATCAGAGCTTTTCAAGGGAACTTGCCATCTCTGTGATGCTTCAGTCATCTCACTGCACATACTTGATAGTAATTTTTCATTTCTTTTCTATTACCGTTGTACATGTATACTTTAAACAGAAGTGTCAATTTTTGGTTGTGTTGATAGTACAAAATGGGAGGGTCTTTTTGGTGTCTACGTCGGTACTTGTGTATCTATGTCTTCAGCGTGTTTGCAACATGTTTGCCATATTCAGTCGCCTCCCTATCAGGCGTTCAGTCTCATAAAGGCGTTCTTGAAGTTGTTCATGTGGGAAGGGGTCAAAGCTGTTTGCGTCGAAGAGAAAAATGTATTGAGATACTGTGAATATTATCTATCAAAATGATGTCTATCTTCAGTTTATTGTCTAATAGAAAGATTTCTTTTATACACAAATATACTTCAAAGCCAAACAAGAAGGACCACTAATTCGTGTGAATACCAATATCAATCTAACTTGGTATACCTGTTACATTGCCGTTCTGACCGGATCATGGTTTTGTAATCTGCATCATGTCTTCTCAGGAGAAATTACCACTCTGTTATTTGAGCTGCTTTGGATATCTGAATGTAATTCGTAAGAGATCCAATGCATCATTGCACCCCTTCCTTTGTTTTCATTGTTCAGTTTTTCACTTTTTGTTGACACCTCACAAATGGAAAATCGTTTGAATACAGTGAATGAATCCGCAGGATTTGCAGTGAATCATTGTCACTGTAAATTCATCCACGTCCTCCTTTGAGATAGCAAAATGAAGATGACCAATTCCTCTAAAGGATGTAGTTGTTGCTGCCACTGCAGAAGGGGGGTTTTTCGCGTATGTGTATTAGCAAATTCTGCACATGGAATCGCTGTTCAAGCAATTGAAAAGGTTTCTGTAGCAACTAGAAATCGACAGAGATAAAGCAGAAATGATGATTCAGAGTTAGCAGTTCACAGTAACCACATCATGAATTGGTAACTGTGAGAGTTCCAGACTAATTTCACAGCTGGAACTCTTGTGAGCATAACAAATCAATCTAAGACTGGATGTATGCAATGCAGACAAAATCCATCTCAATTACAGCGTTGCACAACAGAAGGAACACCAATTCTGCCCAGTGTTGCACAACCAAGTACGATTTGTCGGCGTCTACTGATAAAATCTACTTACTCCAGAGCGCACACAATTTTGCATTACAGAAGAAACAGCAATCGCACACAAACAGAGATATAGCAGGCCAACCAGCGAGACAAAATTCAGAAACACGGTGTATATTGATTTCCAACTCCAGATGCGAGTAGCTTTGTTTCACGATTCACTTGGAACTACAGAGGAAGTAGCAAACCACACTAGTCGCGGTATCATCAAGCTTTTGGGATCTGCAGGGGAGGGGCGAGGAAGCGCCTAGCCGCCGAAGCCGTAGAGGGTGCGGCCCTGGCGCTTGAGGGCGTAGACGACGTCCATGGCGGTGACGGTCTTGCGGCGGGCGTGCTCGGTGTAGGTGACGGCGTCGCGGATGACGTTCTCGAGGAAGATCTTGAGCACGCCGCGGGTCTCCTCGTAGATGAGCCCCGAGATGCGCTTCACGCCGCCCCTCCGAGCGAGGCGCCGGATCGCCGGCTTGGTGATGCCCTGGATGTTGTCGCGGAGCACCTTCCTGTGGCGCTTGGCGCCGCCCTTGCCGAGCCCCTTGCCTCCCTTGCCGCGCCCGGACATGGTCGCCGACGATCCTCTTCGAGCTGCTGGCGAGCGAATGTGGGGTTGGAGTAGCGGTGGTGGTTGGTGGTTTGTGTTGTGATTTGCGGGGAGGGGCGAGGGGCGTTTTAAAGGGGAGAGAGGTTGGAGGAGGCGTGTGCCTGCCGTTCGATGCGGATGCGGTGGACGGTCGAGATGGGGATCCGCGAGAGAGATGCCGCGGATCGCTGACGTGGCGGGAGGCTTGGACCTGTGGCTTGGCGGGCCGGGTCAGAGGTGGGGCGGCAGCTCGAATTTTTGGGCTGTTGGCGGGGGGTTGTGGCTTTCCTTCCTTTTGTGAGAACTTTCCAGATTTTAAGTTACGAACCAACTTTCTGGATTTAGACGGAGTGCTTTGATTGCAGATATAAACTTTGGCTGAAATTCAACGCGAGATGTGGTATACAGGAGAATCAATCCAAACCTCCTTTTGTTTTTGGTGCATGGACCATGATTGTTGATGAGTATAATGGCGCGATCCAAACCTCTTTTTTATTTATGTTCCTTTTTTCCAAGACTGTTTTTCCTTTTCTTTTCGTGTGTTTCCTTTTTTTTACATTTTAAACAAAATAAAATAATGTTATATTATATGTGAAAGCATTTCTTAATGTATGAACATTTTTAGAAACATGAACACCTTTGAAAATTCATGAGTGGTTTTATTTCCGTGAATAAAAATCTTTTAAAAAATTGGCAAACATACATTAAATTCATGAATATTTTTTAGATGTGAAACCATTTCTTAATGCATGAAAAATTTAAGATCAAGCAGAAGGACATGTCCTATGGTCGGGTATTGGTTGAGTTGTAATCTAGTGTCGGCCCCGTTGTGGGTTTAGCCGGTTCCCCTTCAAAATTTGGCACCTCTGTACATAAACCCTCTATTTCGCCTAAATAAAAAGGCAATGCTTCTGTCGGTTCCTTAAAAAAAACTAGCTCCCACCACAACATATCGTGCGTTTGCTCGCTACCGCGCTAGGCGCACGATAGGAGCTCTCATAGGTCCATCATCCCTCAGTTTGTTGCAAGAGATCATGGTATGTGAGAAAATACCAGAGCTTGAGTCCCTTGATCGAGAAGATGAACTTCCTGGTTACTGGTCGCTAGAAATACTAGAGCTGCATCTTCACCTCCCCTCTGATTCGTAGGCATCGCAGATCTTCCGCACCTCCACTTCCTGATTGTCGGGCAACAATAACTCTTGCCGCTTCTGGATAGACCCATGGCTCGACATGAAGTATATTACGGAATATGCCCCCCCAAATCTTTTACCGGATCCCGAAGCGATGTCGACAAGATCGTTCCGTGTGCTATGGGCTCTTTGGGAGGGTATAAGTTTGCGACATTCATGACGCCCTTGGCCTGACTGCCTTGGTCCCATACAAGGGGCTATGGCGGCGTATCAATCACGTACAACTCTCCGACCAACCCAACGAGCTGAGATGGAGATGGACTAACTCCGGTCAGTACTCCGCCAAGTGCCGCTATCTAGCTCTCTTCCACGGTTCTATCCCGGACCTGAACTGGCGCCTTCACCGGAAAACAAGGGCTCCCCTGCGAGTGAAGGTGTTCTCTTGGCTATTGATAACCCACAAGTATAAGGGATCAATCGTAATCATATCGATAAGTAAGAGTGTCGAACCCAATGAGAAGCACGAGGAAATGACAAGCAGTTTTTAGCAAGGTATCTTCTGTGGGCACTAAAATTTTCGATAACATATAGTTTGTAGCAGGACAATTTGTAACGAGTAAGTAATAGTATCGGTAACGAAGGTGCAGCAAGGTAGCTCGATCCTTTTTGTAGCAAAGGACAGGGCAGAAAGATCTCTTATAATAAGCAAAGCGTCCCCGAGGACACACTAGTCACTTTTATCATGTTTGTTTAATTCGTGTTTGTTATTTTGATAATTTGATATGTGAGTGGTCCGGTGCTTGGATGTTGTTTTTACTTGGATAAGCCTTTCGCTTATGATTACCCCCTCTCGCAAGCATCCACAACTATAAAAGAAAAATTAAGATAAATCTAACCTGAAAGTGCGTTATATCGACTAGAGGGGGTGAATAGGCGATTTTTATGAAATTCTTCACTTAGGAATTTGCTGGTGAGGAAATTTTTTAGCGAAGAACTACTAGCAGCGGAATAAGTACTCAAAAGTAAACACAACAGAATACAAGCATAGTCATCATGATGAAATGAAGACAGGCACAGAGTACAGGAAGCGTAATCACAGGATAACTCAGGATGAAGACAAACAGACTGAAGAAATTGAACTGAGGAAATTGAGAAAGTCTTCAGTCAAAGTCTTCAAACACGGATATGAACAAACATACAACACAGTTATGAGGAAATGAAAGAGTTGAGGAAATAGAACCAGTAAGCTCGGTGAAGACAATGATTAGGTAGACCAGTTCCAACTACTGTCTCAGTTGTACGTCTGGTTGGAGCGGCTGAGTATTTAAAATCGAGGACACACAGTCCCGGACACCCAGTCAAGGACACTTGGTCCAAGACACCCAGTCCTCACCGTATTCTCCTTGAACTAAGGTCACATAGACCTCGTCCAATCACTCGTGGTAAGTCTTCAAGCGACTTCCAAACCTTCACAAACTTGGTCACTCAGCGATCCACAATTCCTCTTGGATGCTCTAGACCATGACGCCTAACCGTCTAGAAGAAGCACAGTCTTTAAAGGTAACAAGCGTCGGATCCACTCAGGATCAATCTCTTCAGTGATGCTCAATCACTTGGGGTTTGTAGGTGTTTGGGTTTTGGGTTTTTGGTTTTTCCTTACTTGATGATTTTCGCTCAAAGTCCTCGAAGGATGGGTTGCTCTCAAATGACAAGTGTCAGTTTCTCTCGGAGCAGCCAACCAGCTAGTGGTTGTAGGGGCGGCTATTTATAGCCTATGGAGCAGCCCGACATGATAAGACATAAATGCCCTTCAATGATATGACCGTTAGGTGGATAGATATTTTGGGATAGCTGGCGCATAGCACAACAACGGTCGGAATTTTGAGTAGCAAAATCCTCAAGGCTATCATGTTCCTCACTGTGTAGGCAATCCGCACTAGCGAATTCCTAACTCCTCAGTCAGGACAAATTCCTAAGAGACCAGAAGAACTTCGTCTCTGTCACTGAAGAAATTGACTGAACTGTATGAGATTTCCAATGGCTTCACTCGAAG